TCTCTCCCTCCCTCTGCCGCTCAGTCCTATTCCTGAACTTTGCCTTTGATATTCAGGGCTCCTAGATTGTCATATATAATCAATTCACTTGTTTTGTTGGGTCTTTGTTTTAAGAGGGTCTACCGGAAGCGTCTGACTACTCCACCATCTTGGCCCCCACAGTCTAGTTGGTTTATAGTGTTAAGTCTTCTATTCCCTTCTTGTACTTTATCTAGTGGTTCTACCCATTATCGAAAGTGGCATATTGAAGTCTCCAACTATTATGGTTGAACTGTTGATATACTATTCAAATGAAGTTGATGTTATTCTGGACTGTTTAAGATATTAACTGTAACCCCCAGAGAAGCCACTAAGAAAATAACTCAAAAATATAGCCAAAGAAATGACTTCCAGGTAACCACCAAAGTGTTCAAATAAGGATAATGCTCTGGGAACGAGACTTTGAAGGAACTCTAACCCCTTGTTGCTGTCTCTGGTGGCTGCCAGGCCGCTGGTTTTCACCATGATTGTGGGCTCTTGGCTTTGAAGACTTGTGGAGCTGGAGAGAGGAAAGATGGGAATAGGTTGAGTTACAAATGCCGCAGAGCTCACTGTTCTGACTTTCAGCTATTTTTCTTGAATAAATGCACCCCCAGATTGCTACAACTGTTTGGTAAAGTTTCAGAGACCTGAAAAAGTTGATTCAGACAACTTTTGCCTGTTGTCTCAATGCTTTTATTGAGGAGAGACTTTTTGAAGGTCCTCTATAGGGTTGCTGTGAGTCAGAATCAACTCAGCGACCATAGGTTTGGTTTGGTTTGGGTTACTCTACTGTTTTTGCTGATGTCATTCCCTAACTAAAATATTTTTTAAGTTGTGTTGCAGGTCATCAAAGCTGACTCTTCCTAGGTCAAGTAAGAGTGAGGATGTTGGCTTAATAAACATACATAGAGCTGTAAACAGAAAGAGGGGTCCAATGGAAATCCGAGAACAGGAATTCCAACATAACTTATCCTGAGAGATTAGAATTCAAGGCAACTTTAAGGACCCAACCATAGGGGTTCATGGATCTTCACTTTAGTGGTCTTCTACATAAAATAGTGATAAAGACACAGACTTTGGACCCAGCCTGCCTGGATTCAAATTCCAGATCCACCACTACTTTTTTTTTTTCCTTTTATCTGTACAGTGGGGCTAATAATAGTACCTATACCATAGGGACAGTGTGAGGTTTACATGAGTTAATATATATAAAGCATTAGAACAGTCCCTGGTACAGGTGGCATGCTATAAAACGGTTGCTATTGTTATTTGTAGTCTAATGAACCACTTGTTCTGTCTCTGCTTCTCTTTTCTTCTCTTTACTGCCATCTTCACTTTCTATATTTCTTCTAAATCATGGTTTCTATTTTCTTGTAATTTTAGGTAATTTACATCTTTGGCTTACTCGTGAATCCTTACTCTGCTTTACTCTTCCTGCTTTACTTCATAGTTGCACACTCAATCTCTCTCCCTACTATATATGTGTGTGTATGAATATATGTGTGTGTGTATAAATATATGTGTGTGTGTAGACACCCACACATACGTCCAGTTCTGTGAGAGCCGGAACTTGACCGGGAGTATTTTATTTTTCTGTGTCTCGAAAGTTTTCCTCCTTTGACAGGGGGCAGTCTTACCACTCTTCTATTGCTAGTGTTAGTGGAAGATAGTTGAGGTTACCTTCTCCGACAGGTTTCTACCCTACACACGTTCAGGCTTTCACAGGTTTTACTGCATACATACATATACATACATATTTATGTATATATATCTGATATAGATGTATATATCAGATCTATATTTTTTTCCCCTTAGCTTTAATTCAAATTCCCAAGGGTGAGAAGATGCCCACGATGTGTCTCATTCTTCTTTAGATCCTTCTTTAGACAGAGCTCTCCACATCCGGCCACCTCGAATTGGCTGCCCTTGAGCTGATTGCTCTCCAGCCGTGGTGAGGTGGTTGGACATCACACATTGCTACCCACCATTGGCCTGGAAGCAGAAACTCTGCAGGGGAGACTGTGGGCTGGAAGAACTGGGTGAATATTCACTTTTCCATGTGTGGCATATAATGTTTTTGTTGTACAAAATGGTGACTGAAAAATCATGATTCGCACTTACTTTATTCCAGGGGGAAATCTTATTCAGTTAACCAGAAGACAGTGAGTGCCAAGAAAGGACCAGTGAAAAAGATTACAAGAAGAAGCTACCTTCCAAAACTCAGCCCATGAAGCCAGAACTGGGAGGACGTCTCATTCAGTTTGAAAAGTTAATGTTCAACACAGTTTTTTCAGGGAATGAAATAGATAAGAAAGAGCTACCAAACCCCACTTAAGCACCTCTTCCAGAAGTGTGTCCTTTGTCTGCATGAAAGCGATTTTCTCAAATGACTCTAGAATACCTCGCAGTGTTTGTGATGGTTGAGATATACTAAGAAACCTGAAGGTTGACCTCATCCCACTAGCTTTTGATAATACACCGGTGATCTGCTCTTATAGTAACACTGCTTTTACGTTTGGTTTCTAGTTGGCTGTTAGCTAAAAGTATGAGGTCATTACATTATTTTTGCTAGTTTAGGCTCTATTATGTTCAGTTTTTAAACTCAAGGTTTAAACAAAGCTGCAAATCAATGCATTTTAAACATTTAGACTTGAAATATCATAGTATAGTGCAAACAGGTTTGAATTGGGAATGACCTCAGGTATCTCACCACTCCGCTGTGAGCTTGAGACCCCCGGCCGAGTCCCTGCACCTCACTCTGCCTCCATGCCTGTAAAGTGCCGAGGCAAACTGCAACTTCTGAGGTGTCTTATCATGCTAGGAATTCAACGGTTATTCAACTGCAGGATCCTGCCATTTAGCATGTGGTGGTTTAAGGCATTTTGTCATATTTTTTTAACTCATACTGATGGCCTAGTTCTTCGGGCCAAACTTTGCAAGTGTTCAAAATACTTAGGAGTGGGGGTGGAATGGGAATAGAAAAATGGTTCTTTTAAGATATTTGTAAGATTTATTGAATTATCCTAATCATGTTTAGAATGTTTTTCAAAATACCATCTAGATCTGAAACATATATGTAATTATTTACTCAACTTTGTAAATGGAGTTATTCTTAGAGCTTAATTTTCCAGAAATCATCCACAGGTAAGCATGGTTTCCAGCCAGTAGTGTTCTTACTGTGTATCTGGCACTAAAATCTGAATTCTATTGAATACAAAATACATTTCTATAATTACTTCTGTAGATGATCACTTTCTTTCTTTAAGGAAGAATGCATAAATTTCATATAGCCAAATAGCAATTCTTTCATGTGACTTTAAAATGTAATGCAGAGAAATATGAAGTAACTCCTGTAAAGTATTCTACATTGGAACTATTTAAAAGTATTTTCCCCTGTTCTGAATTAAATTGACTATGGACATAGGTACCATGACCCACATAATCAAATATTAGATTTTTTTTAATGTCCTGTGCCACCTTTCTTAATATGAGCAGAAAATTGATCATTTACATATCAGTAATAATGTTAATCACAGACCCATCACTGAAAAATAAAGCATGTTTGCTGCTGTCACACAGAGCTAAACGGTTGTGAGTATTGAACTGAAGAAAGTTTGAAGTTATCCCGGTCACTGGGATGGTATATTAGTTGAACATCTTATCACTTGGACCCTTATCATATTGAAGTGAGAGTTCATGAGGAGATACTTTGGGATATACTTCCCAGATGTCAGAGGATGTTAAAATAGTATACAGAACCAAAATGAAGGACTCTAAGATCTGTGTGCTGATATCAGTTTGCCACATAATAAGCTTGTGACTTTCGGCAAAGCACTTCTCATTGCCACAGTTTCCTTATTTATAAAGTTGAGAATATTTACCCTAACTACTACTGCCTTGGGATTGCTGTGCAGATGAAGGATACTTACTCCATACATGTTTATCTACTTCTTTATATCCTACTACCCTCTAAAGGGGATGTGAGTTAGCTCTTAATAAATATAGAGGTATAACAGCAACACCCACAAGGTAAAAGGTGAACAATCAAGTAAGAAATGAAAAGTTAAAAAATTTTACAAGAATTCCCAGCTAAGAAAAGCACTAGCTTTGAGCTGTCCAGTGGCCAGTGCAAAGAAGGAATGAGTTACAGAGCTCTCTTTTTTTGTAGAAGGAAATATGCAAGGAGAGAGAAAGTTTTCCTCATTCTAAACTCTGAAGGTAATTTGTCATGTGAGATCTTACAAGAAAATGCAATTATTACTGCAGTAACCAGAGCAAAAATGATCCTTTGGGTCTTTACTTTGTTTAATGCTAAGTTATGTATTAATGTCAGTATTTATTTTTTGAAAAGTTTAGAAGTCATAAAATAAAAAAATCAGTAAAACAATATTTAATACATTTCAAAATTTAGACTGTCTACATGTATTACAAAATATCAAGTATAACCATATATAAAAACGTTGCTATAATAAAGTCAGTAATGACAAGTGTTCCCAAGATGTGGAGGAGAAGCTGGACTCCTCGCACACTGCTATTGGGCGTGGAAGTGGTACAGTCAGTTTGGGAAACTTCGGAAGCTCCTCAAAAGGCAAAATAAACACAGAGTTACCACATGGAGCAGCCATTCCACTCCCTAGGTTATACTCAAGAGAAATGAAAATATATGTCCACACAAAAACTTGTGCACGCATGTTTATAGCAGCATTTTTCAGAATAGCCTAAAGGTAGAAGTAAGGCAAATGTCCACCAACTGATAAATGGAGAACTGAAATGTGGTATATGCATGCAATGGAATATTATTCAGCAATGAAAAAGAAGTACTGATAGATGCTCCACCTGTATGAATTTTGAATAAAACTATGCTAAGTGAAAGAAGTCATGAAAGAGCACGTACTGTGTGACTCCATTGATATCAAATGTCCACAACAGGCAAAGCCATACAGACAGGAAGTAGATCTGCCATTGCCTAGGGCTGGAGCTGGAGGGGAACTGGGAGGTGACTGCGATGGGTACAGGGCTTCTTTTTGGGGTAATGAAAACGTTCTAAAATCAATTGGTGATGGCTGTGTACCATCTGGTCGTAGAACTTTGTGAATATACTAAAACCCATGGAATTGTACACTTTCAATTGGTGAAATTGTATATTATGTGCATTCTATTGCAATAAAGCTTTTATCAAAAACAAATTTTAGAATGCATTAAAATTTTAATATGAATTTGCAGATAAATTTAAATTTAGTATTATTTGATCTTCTCAGAAAATGTGACCTTAAAAAAAATTGTTGCTAGTGCCACTGTTGACTTAAAAGCATATTTTTGAGTGGAATTTTCCAACTAAGAAACTTCCAGAAGCCTTCCTCATCAGAGAACAATGAGGAGTTAGTTACAAAGCTAATTCCAGATATTTTCCTTGGGCTTCTTTAACTTCACACCATCATATCTGTTGCTTGATAACTTTGAGGAGATGTTTATAAAGCACCTTTTGACTTTAACTGGATCTGGATTATTTTTAATTTATAGAGAGCTATGGTTTTTGTTTCAAAGAATTTATTTCGAGTTTTGCATCATCCTCATTAGTTTTATCATGATAGATGGAGACTCCAAAGCACAGTTACCTGTATCAGTGTTAGTACTGTGAGGTTCATATTCTACTAGACAAGAATTTTTAGTTTGGATTAAGAATTGTTGCAACATAAGCTCATCAATAACACAATTTTATTTCTTTTGGCTAGTCGTTTCTATGTCTTTTTGAAATTGAGTTATAGATACTTATTTCAATATATAAATTATTTAGTTTTTATTTTTGCAATAACACATAACAACACATACACTAGTGTATCAGTTTCTACGTGTACACTTCAGTGACATTGATTACATTCTTCAAGTTGTGCAGCCATTTTCCCTCTCTTTTTCCAAATTTTCCTACCACCCATTAACATGTCTTCAGTGCACCCCAAGTAAAAGCTCCTTCTTTCCCCCTCCCTCTGGCCCCTGCTAACCACCGATGACATATAGTTTCTGTTTAATTGCTTATTTCATGCCAGTGAGATCATACAGTACTGGTCCTTTTGTGTCTGACTTACTTCACTCCAGTGTGAGGTACTTCTGCTCTCACTTTTTGATCAACTTTGACTCCTCTAGTTTATAAACTGCAGCGGTTTCCCTTGGAAATCCAGGCACTTAAAGTTTACATTTACCCAGGTATCTGCCCTTTCTGGCACTTTGTTCCCCTATGTAAAGCCAAACTTTCATTGGCATTATTCTCCTCCTGCTGAAAGAACTTCCTCTAACATCTCTGAAAGTTCAGGTTTGCTGGCAGGAATTTTCTCTTTTGTTTGTCTGAAAAAGCCTCTATTTCACTGTCATTTCTGAAAATTATTTTTGCTGGTAGGTGCAATTTAACGGCCATGTCATCTGGAAGGCGAGAAAGAGAGGGAATGCTTTTGGAGTACAAGGGAACATGGCAGGTTGACGGTTTTATTCTTTCAGCACCTTGAAGATTCAACTCCATTGTCTTATGGCTTAGTCATCTAGTGCTGCTGTGACAGAGATACCACAAGTGGAGCAAACAAATCTATCCTCTCACAGTTTAGGAGGCGAGAAGTCCGAACTCAGGGCAGCTCGAGGGGAAGGCTTTCTGTCTCTGTCGGCTCTGGAGGAAGGTACTTCTGTCTTTTCGGCTTCTGTTTCTTGGTTCCTTGGTGATCTTCATGTGGCATGGCGTCTGTCTTCCCCATCCCTGCTTCTTTGCTTCCTTGCTTAATCTGCTCTTTTTCTCTCTCAAAAGAGATTGACTCAAGATACACCCAATGCTAATACTGTCTCATTAACGTAACAAAGAAAATCGTATTCCATATTTTGGGGGACACAGTTCAGTGCGTAACAGCTTGCATGTTTTCTGATGAGAACTCTGTGATTTTCTTTTCTTTTTTCCTTTGTACATCCTGTGGCTTTTATTACTGGCTGATTTTAAGGTTTTCTCTACATAATTGGCTTTCAGGAATTATAATAAGCCTCAATGCAGTTTTATTTATATTTATTCTGCTCAGTTTTCCTTAAGCTTCTGTGGGTGTGAGTTTTAATCATATTTGGAAAATTTGGGGCCTTTTTTTCCCCAAATCTTTTTCTGTCCCCTCTTCTTTCCTTCTGTGACTTTAATTACAACCTGAGACAGACAACGTGATATTTTTCCATGGGTTACTCATTCTCTGTTCACTTTTTTAAAGTCTTT